GCTTAAATATGTATATTATGATATGAATATAAATCTAAAGTAAATTGTTCTCTTGCTTCCGAAACAAGTTTCAATCTTTTAACGGTTACCGGGCAATAGTTACCGTTTATACATTTGTGACAAATGTTCTTAGAAAATATTAAAACTTCAAATTAAATTGATTTCAATTTAGAGGCCAGTATTGCAACATTCAATAGACAGACAGATTCTAACAGATTTCTTTAATGATCTAAATTTACTGTCTGCTACAACATCGCATGTTAAAACAAAGTTAGATTGAGATTATGTACATTTAAGTACCACCTCAATTACTCAGCAGTTAAGAGGAACAGTTACTCCTAAACAACCGACAAAATGGGTAAGCTGTTTTAACATATGCTTGTCAATCGTCAATGAACCTTTTCGCTTAAGTTTTTTTATGTTTACTTTCTTGATTTCTAGAGTACAGCAAAGTGATGGCTGCATCCGCTCTCGTTTACAAAAGGAACGCTAAAGTGACAACAGTCCTTGTTTACAAAGAGTACATTTCGGACGAAAGACAAATTAGAGCCCATCAGTTGGTTAGAAGATGGTGTAAATGACGAACTGCTGGATTAGTAAGTGAAGACAGCCGTCACTTTATTGTCACTTTTGAAAGAGAGACTGGAGACAGGTAAGTGCCCTTTCAAACTTAAAGCTAAAATGTTAATTGCCATGCATGGACTTCTTTCGACAAGCTTTCCGACTGTCTCTATGTAATTTGTGGAGTGACGATTGACTTTCTTCTAGGACAAGCACATCTTAAACTAGCTAGTCATAAGGGTAGTCGGTAGCTAAGGGTAACTCTCAGTTGTAGGTTAAAAAGGTAGTTCGGGTCTGTACCGCCGAACTGCTGGGCTATGATAGCAATAATAGGTAAACTAGCGAAAAACATAGAACACCTACATACCTCCATAGAAACAGTCACGTGACTAGTTTTACGTTAGTTGCCCTAGAAAACTTGTTCGGAAAACGCAAAGAAATATTAGATTCTATTTCGATGTAGTAAAAAGGGAAATATAACTTACCTTGCTTAGTCTAGAAGAGTCCATATAAATGTAGCTGGAACTATTTGACAGGATTTTTATTAAGTTCTTCTTGCAATTACATATTAGCGAATTACTACACACACATATTAACTAAACTACCGTCGCGAATAGGATTTACTTATTAGCAGAATATTACACAGTTTTTAAACTTTATATTATTTCACATTATCTTAAACTAATATGTATATTTTTATTAAAAACTAATTTTTATTACAAATCACAATTTTTTCCGACAAACACGTGTTGCATTTAGCAAACTTTAAAAGGCAATGACCGCAATGACAGAATCAAAACAAAACAACAAATTGCACAAAGATGAGAGAAAAAACCAAGAGAGATTATTAAACTGTTGCGTAATTACGAGTGAGAGAGAATTGCATTTTATTAAACTGCAATTTACTTCTTAATTTTTTATTTTTGTTGCTATTTTCTTTAATATTATTGTAGCACAACACTTTATTAATACTTTTTACACATTTATTTGTTTAAAATAACAATTTATTTACTTATTTTTAATATTTTATTACCGATGCATTTCAATATACTTGTTACTTTCATTTGAAGGAATAACTAATAAAAGGGAAAGTAAAAATTAAGTTTAATGTAGGAGAAAAAGGGTTGCCAGAATGTTGGTTATAATTAAAGTGACATTTGTATTGATTTGTGGTTTATTGGCTTGTAAGAAATTAATCGAATTTTTTTAAATACATATTTTATAAGAAATTACGCATTTTTGTATTTAAAAGTTTATTGTATAACGGTTTTCTTAAAACCTTTTCAACCGTACACCCGTTGTAGATAAAACTTAAAAGTGCTGCCAACTTTCTGTAACAGCTGTTTTTGACATAACATTAATTTTTTTCTCTTTATGTTGTTTTTTCTACACTTTCGTAATGATACTTTCATAATTTCAATTTTTTTTTGAGCTTGTAGTATTAGGAAATCATAAAATAAGTGTTTTTAACTAAAATATTCCAAACTTTTGAATGAATCCGTTTAAAGTTTAAATTAAAACCCTTTAAGTTTAATTAAATAAATCAAAATGTTGCTGCAGTGTTTGGGAAAATGTACACGTTTGTCCAGACCCACCATCAAATACACAACAAATGTTTCTGGCCATCATCAGCAGCATTGGAGATCATTTACGATAAGGCACAATTATGTATCAGGGAAAATAAACACAAATTTTAATGCCACCCGAGGGCAATTGTTAACTTCACCTCTAATGAGGCAAAATGTCTGGTTGTTAAGATTAAAAAATACCGCTCCCGAGCTAAGGAAAGCGAAAGCTCCCAAAGTTAAACTAAAGAAAGGTGATATCGTGCGTTTGATCAGTTTGGCAAAATCGGAAAAAATGGTTTTAGCAGGTAAAGATTTGTTTAAATAAGTTGATCTCTTCAAGTACTTAGATTTGCACAGGTTTTCGTAAGGAAAACAACAAAATCTATTGAAATATTGAGTCTGGGAACGGACAGTAAAACCTGCATATCTGACAAGTACAGTAGCAAAGTTAATTGTTATTTATATATGTATGTTTGTTTCAGCTGCCATTGGCTGTTTGATTATCTCCTCGGCCATAACCATGACTGTACCCTTTGCTTTGGGTAAAATTTTGGACATTATTTTCGATAAAGAAGGTGCTAATGGTGAACAAGCTTTAGATAGATTAAAACATTTTTCCGCTATACTATTGGGTATATTTGTGGTGGGAGGTTTAGCCAATTTTGGTCGGGTTTATCTATTTAATAGTGCCTGTAAGTTCTACTTAAATATTTCTTGAAAATAAGTTAAACATTTTGTCTAACTTTTCCTTCTAGCCTTGCGTATTGTGCGCAACTTACGCTCTAAACTGTACAGACGTATGCTGCATCAGGAAGTGGGTTGGTTTGATAGAAAAGGCACCGGTGAATTGGTAAATCGTTTGGCTACTGATACTTATTTGGTGGGCAACTCCTTGAGTCAAAATCTATCAGATGGTTTACGTTCTACTGTTATGGTTTTGGCCGGCACCACTATGATGGTAAGAATATACATACATAAAAATATGTAAAATTTAACTTTCTTCTAAATATGTCAAACTTTTCAGATTTACACTTCGCCGCAATTAGCTCTGATAAGTACCTGTGTGGTGCCTTGTGTGGCAGGGATAGCTGTTATATATGGTCGTTATGTGCGCACCATAACCCGCCAATTGTTAGACAAATTGGCCGATATCTCCAAATCAGCCGAAGAACGTTTGGGCAATGTTAAAACTGTTAAGACTTTCACCAAAGAAGAACAGGAATGTAAAGCTTATGATAACCTTTTAACAGAAGCTTTAAATCTAGGCTACAAAGAAGTTATGGCGAAATCATTATTCTTTGGTTTGGTAAGTTTTATTAAACAAATCAAATGTCTTTATAATCTAAATTTTGTTATTTGCAGACTGGCATGTCTGGCAATATAATCATAGTTTCTGTTTTATACTATGGCGGTTCTTTGGTCGTACAAGATGCCTTAACTATTGGCGCCTTGACATCATTCATATTATATGCTGGTTATTCGGCCATTTCTATTAATGGTCTTTCCAATTTTTATACCGAATTAAATAAAGGTGTGGGATCGGCCCAACGTATTTGGGAAATATTTGATCGTAAAAATTCGATTCCCTTAAATTTTGGCATAATACCAGAGACGAAACCACGCGGTGAAGTTGTATTCGATAATGTTAACTTTAGTTTCCCGGCTCGAGCGGATAGTGTAGTTTTAGATAATTTTAATTTAACTTTAAAACCAGGACAAACCACAGCTATAGTGGGACGTAGCGGTTCGGGTAAAACCACCATAGCCACCTTGCTGTTGCGACTATATGATCCTTTGCAGGGTAGAGTTTTGCTGGATCAAGTGGATTTGAAAGACTTGAGTCCTGTATGGTTAAGAAATCATATAGGTGCAGTGAGTCAGGTGAGTGTGAGAAGCTGTTTGAAGGACTATAGTTTTTTAAAAGAGAATTTCGTTTCTTTCAGGAACCTGTTTTATTTTCTGGCACCATAAGAGACAATATTATGTATGGCTTGAATAAGGATCAATCGATAAGTGAATCTGAATTTGAGGAAATTGTTCGTAAAGCTCATGTTGATGAATTTACATCTCAACTACCCCAGGGCCTTAATACCATGGTGGGCCAACGAGGCATGATGTTAAGTGGAGGACAAAAACAGAGAGTAGCCATTGCTAGAGCTTTAATAAAAGTAAGTTTTCTAATTATTACTAAAAGCTTTCTTCAAAATACTTATTTTTTCTGCTACTCCCTACAGAATCCCACCATTCTCATACTGGACGAGGCGACCAGTGCTTTAGATTCCGTTTCCGAAGAACTAGTACAAAATGCACTCGAACAATTAGCTAAAGGCAGAACTTGTTTAACCATAGCTCATCGTTTATCCACTATACGTAATGCTGATTCTATAGCGGTGCTAGATAATGGACAAATTGTCGAACAGGGACGTTATGAGGAGTTAATAGCACGCGATACTAGCACATTTAAAGAGTTGGTTAAGAAACAGGCGTTTCTTATGAACTCATGATGACTTCTGAACTAAGAAACTAATTTGGTTTTAGTAGACAACTTTTGTTTTAGCCAATTTTTATTATATTATTTAATTTTTAGTTAACAAATTTATTTTTGTTAAAGTTGTACAAGTTTTAAAGGTTTATTGTTATACTTATGTAACTTTACAAGCAGCAAAAGAATAGTTGATTTTGCGGTTATTAATAAAACGATAAAAGGCATAAATTTTGTTATCATAAATGTAATTTCTTATTTAAAAATGTATATAAAAATAATAATAACAAATGTTAGATGAGATTTTTAGAAAATTTTATGAAATTTACTTATTTTTTTTTTTTTAATATTTGAATAAAAGAGAGGTTTATGAAGTTTTTAAGAAAAATAATCATTTATAACAAGGTCAATGTTCTAAACATTTAAAATATATGTATATAAAGTTAATAATCTGTTAACAAATTTAGTTTCTTAAAAATTTTAAAAATCTTTTTTTAATTACGTGGAATTGTTATTTTAGAATAATTTTCTTAATCTAAACAATAATATGGAATAGCCAGATTTCGTGAAGTTATAAAAATATTTATGTTTTTGTATATGTTCAATTCACAATCGATGTTGTATGGAATGACATCTAAATGTATGATACGACATTTTTTACGTGGGTTAATTCATTTTTTTAACAGAATGTTCATAACAAAGTTCTGTTCCTAATCACATATAACATATCCTCCTTTACGGCAAGGTTGTGAATTCATTTATAGTTTTCTTATAATAACAAAATGTATAAAAAATTTGCAAAGTTTTTAAAACGTTTTATGCAAAATATAATAAAAAATAGTAAATCTTACATTACACGCTCATCACTTTCAAGAAGACCACAAACATTTAACTCCCTGATAACATTGGGCAAAGAAATGATATAGAAATTCTCTCCCTCGATTGTGGTAACATTGTCACATTTAATAATTTCATTATTAGGAATTATTTGTTCAAGTTTGGCAATCAGTTTATCATCACATTCTTCTGGTAAACCTAAGCATAACAAGATATTAAGTTTGCAAATTGTAAGATAGATAGATAGATAGATAGATAGATAGATAGATAGATAGATAGATAGATAGATAGATAGATAGATAGATAGATTAGATAGAAGATAGATAGATAGATATAGATAGTAAAGATGTAGATAGATAGATAGCTAGATGATAGATAGATATAGATAGATGATAGATAGATAGATAGATAGATAGTAGATAGATAGTCGATAGATGATAGATAGATCGATGAGATAATAGATGATAGCTAGATGATAGATAGATAGATAGATGCGCCCTGCCGCTATGATCGATAGTCTAGATAGTAGATCGATAGATAGATGATTCTAGTGCTCGATCCTCGCTCGCTCGATCCTCCTCGATCGCTCCTATAGATATAGCTTCGATCGATACATAGCTAGATAGATAGATGATATCCTGATATAGATACCTTTGATCGCGAATTCGCACCCCAACTCTGCTTTCACATGCTCACCTTTATTTCCATCCGCAGTATATATAGATATGATGCCTCGGATAACGGCGTATATTTTCAATTGGTACAATGGTCATATTACCATCATCAACTAAAATGTATAGAGGATGGACCATCACCTACGGCTCTAAACAAATGCCACCGATTACATAAACCATCTAAACTATAACGAGCAATACAAAGTTCATCGACTCTATAAAGGCAAAAGTTGAAATTAAAAGAATATTTTTGCTTAACATTAAGCTTTCTATGTCTACCTTGGTGTATAAGCTTCTTCGGGTATAGATTCTGCATAGGTTTGTAATTCTTTTTGGAATTTTTGTATTTCAATGACATAGGGTTTGATGGTGCAAGATATGCAGCCAGAACTCATTAAGGAATTGTCCATAACAAAAAATTCCACATCATCACCAGTGGGTAAAACTTTTTGCTCCAAATACTAAAGAATGAATTAAAAAAGGAAAGTTTCAGTGTTTTACATTGATCATTTAGGTTAAAGTTCTGAATTAGTAATAATGCTGTACTCACCCCACGATTACATATTTCATTGGAATTTTGTGGTTCCATAGGTTTCGATAATTTAACAATCATTTTATTTAAATTCTGTTGAGTATTCTCATCAATTAGTTCCACAGCATAAATTTGATTGGTTTCAAGAAAATCTTCTGGTTTATAGCGTATTTCCACATTTATATTATGCAAGTACGTATACATAAATTTGCGTATTTCTTGTGTCATGTGCAGATCAGGAACATCTTTTAACAAAACTGGTATAGCATGACGTGGCTTTGAAACAAACTCATCGGGTGCTTCATATAAATCTTCCAATTTCATTTGTTCCAAATTACCATAGTCCACAAAAATAATTAAAATTCTTTCGTCATTTGTGGCCTGTAGAACCAATGCACGATTGAATTGATTTTCAAATTTGGCAATAACCATTCGACCACAATTAGGTGGAGATTTCAAAGGCTGCAGCAATTTACCTATAGCTTGTAGAGAATCGATTGTATTGAAATAACTCAAATTGTCATCATAAGTTTTGGAACGTATGAAAACTACGTTGGTTTTTGAAATTGCTGTTATGGTAACAATATTACCACTACGCGGCATATTTTGCTGAGCAGCACTTTTTGTAGAATTTCCCGAATCATTTGTAGGTTGCTTTTCTGGGTTTGTCGCGATTTTAGAGCTACTTGGGAGTTGCAAATCGTTTCCATTCAAACTTGTAGGTTTATTGACCAAACCTTTCGAAGAACTTGGTAATTGTTGTTTAGAATTACTTTCGTTGTTTTTCGTTAATTTTTCTTTGGTAGTTGTAAGATTTTCATTATTCGTATTCTTTGAATTATTTGAGGAGTTTTTGTTCAATTCGTTTGGTTTTTTTGGTGGTGGAGTTTTTTGTAAATGTCTATAATGGAATTTATTATTTTTTTTTTTTTTTGTAAAAAATGGAAATAAAATAATTTTGGTTTGAATTCTTTTAAGTGAAAAAAACTTTATATAGAGAAAAAGCTTTATATGTATGTAATAAAAAGCCCTTTTTTAAAAAGTTTATTAAATGCAAATAGATTTTTTAATAAGCTTTTTTATAAAAAAGCTTTAACAAAAATGTTTGTGAAAAAAGCTTTTATTAAAGCTTTTTTGTGAAAAATCATTTTTGAAAAGAAAAAAATTTTTGTGACCATTTAAAACAAATTCTTGTGAAAAAAAGCTCTTAAAAAGCTTTTTAGAGAAACAAAATGCTTTTAGTAAAAAAAAAAGTATATTTTAATAAAAAAAACTTATTTTAGTGAAAAAAATAGTTTAAATGAAGAAAGCTTTTTTGTTAAAAATGTTCTTTTAATAAAAATATTTTTATAGTACTTTTTTTACAAAAGACATTAAAAAGCTTTTTTAGAGGAACAAAAAGCTTTTTAATGAAAAAAGCTTTCTTATTTTAAAATGTTCTTTTAATAAAAATGTCTTTTGTAAAAAATTACTTTTATAGTAATTTGTAAGTGAAAAGCTTTTCAGCAATAAAATGTTTTGTTGCTAAAAAGCTAATTTTCTTCTGTATAACTTACTTTGGTTTTCCACATTTATAACGATGTTGAGGCCAATCACTTATTTGACACTCAGCACTACAATAGTGCTGGGAACAGCGGCTGCAGACAGTGTCACAAGCGTAAAAACATACAGAACATCTATCGAAGTCCTTAGCCATTACACAATTTCCTGGTTTATGTTCATATTTGTTGGAGGTGCCATTGTAAGTACCCGAAGATTCGTTATGTTTTTTCTCAATAAATTTTTTTGTATTCTCCGGCATGCTTTTTATAAAAATAAAAACAATATTAAAAATAGATATCCTGTCAACCTCATAATAAATATCCTTAAACCTCCTTTTTTTACTTACTTTACATAAGAACGACCATTGCGATAATTAAATTTCTGATTATTTGGCATTTTATAAAGACCCTGACGCTCCAAACTGTGGGCATCATCTGTCAAAAGTTGCAAAGGAAGTCCCGTATCAACTGCACTGGCGCTGTTCCTATTAATAAGCGAGTCTTCCTTAACATTCGGACGAGGATGTTGCTTTTTCGATGTACGATAACTACGATTTTGATAATCAATGCCCGTGTTCTGTGGTGGTACTGGGCTATAATTTTGATTCACTTTATTTCTTTCCCCATCTGATGGTTTTTTATTTTTCCCCACTAATACTTCAAAACCATAGTTATTGTGTTCCAAAGCACGAAAAACTGCTTCCATATCACTAAAACACAAGAATTTCACAATAATTTTAGCAAGTCAGCAAAAAATGAAATCAACTATAAACAAACTCACGCTACTGTAGCCAAATCCACAAAATAATAATCATTTTTAGTACTGTCCCGAACAGATTTAACACGACCATGCCGCGAACAAATGTTATGCATTGCCTTCTTGGTCATATCTTTGGGCAAGTGCCGAAATATCAACGTTGGTACAGCTTGTTGCTCCTGCTTTTTGCCGGCATTATTATCATCTTTATTTGCTTTGTTGCAATTTTGCAAAGCTTGTTGCCCGGGCTGTAGTTCGGCATCGAGTTCTGCTCCTGGACCAGTAACATAATGATTGAATTTGGTGTTTTTGTAGTCATTTTCCATGGGATTCCATTGTTTAAATTTATCATCGAGTTCTTTAGCACTCATTTTGTTTGAAACAGTTGCAATTTTTTTATTTAAATAAGAAAAAGAAACAAAAATGTTTTTTCAAAAATAAAAATACAAACAACGAAGAAGAACAAAACACTTAATAGAGATGATAAATAAAAAATTTTGTTATCGAACTTAGAGAAGGTTAAAACAAAAAGTCGACTTTTTGCAATTTATGAAATGTTGATTATTCGACTTGTAATATTAAAATTATCGATTTTTTTTTCAATTAAAATATAATTCTCCAGTCTATACAAATGAAAAAAACCCTTATTTAAGAACTGATCAAAATTTAATTTAGATGTAGTTCAATTCTAGATCAATTCTTGTGCAGTTTTAGTTCAGTTCTAGTTTATCACAAGTTCAATTCTAGTTCAGTTCTATTTCTATCTCAGTTCTAGTTTAGATCTAGTACAGTTCTGTACAGTTGAGATCTAGTACAATTCTAGTAAGTGCTTGTTCAGTTGTGATTTATAGTTCTATTACAATTCTAGTTGAGCACTTGTTCAGTACTGATGTAATTCTAGTACGATTTTAGTTCAGTTCTAGATTAGTTCTAGTTTAATTCTAGTTCGGTTATAGTTCAGTTCCAGTTCGGTTCTAGTTCAGTTCTAGTACAGTTCTAGTTCAGATTTAGTTTAGTTCAGTTCTAGTTCTGAACTATTTCAGATTTAGTTCTGTTCTTTGTTTATGATCATTAATCACAAAATAGTCTTCCCTTTTTTTAATAAATTTCATTTCAAAGGATCTGAAAAACTAGCAAACTAGTGTTGATATGGTATAGATATAGATATACTTTATTAAAAAATGCATTATATTTAATTAAGTTGTTTTAATCAGCTCTTCTTTTCTTCAGAAGACTTCCTAATAAATCAGATATAGCGGGTAATTCGGGTACAGATTGATTATGAAGATGACTACCAACGGCCACTTTATTATGGTTGCCTTGCATATTACGATGTTGTGGAAATGTAGGCATCAATTTGGGATCACATGCTAAAAAGAAAAATGTTAAAATTAACACATATTTTTAAGCGGAAAGCCATTTAAAATAATATTCAAACCAGAATAAGAAAATTAAAATTTTGAAAATCTAATTTAATGTATATTTTTATCTAATATTTAAGACTTACGCAATGGTGGCTCCTTAAAATAACTGCTGTGCAGGCATTCCTCTGCCGTTGCCCTTTTCTTCGGATCATACATGAAGAGGAAATTAAGTAATCTTAAGCCTGCCGCCGAAAGATATTGGAATTTTTGCTTTAAATTATTATATGGATGTTGTTTCAGTGTGAAATTTTGTAAAGCGGGCATTTTTGCCAAGTCTGGCCAAATGGCTTCAGAAGGAGTGCCCAACAAATCGATTATCAGTTCTAGTTGGGCTATTTCGGTGTTACCGGGAAGTAAAGGTTTGTGGGAGAGTAGCTCACCTAATATGCAACCCACGGCCCACATATCTACAGCGGTGGTTTGTGTGGGAGAGCCGAGTAAAAGTTCTGGGGAACGATACCATAAGGTAACAACCTGGGGAGTCATGGGGCCGGAGGGTAAGCCAAATAAACGGGCCAATCCAAAATCGGCTGGAAAATAGTCAAGGTGTTGAATGCAGTGGAAGTCCAAAATATGTATATGTTAAGAATAACTTACCTATTTTAACACATCCCTTATCGGTCATTAATAAATTTGATACCTTTAGGTCCCGATGTATAATATAGCGAGAATGCATATATTTAAGACCCTGCAATACTTGTAGAATAATACATTTTACTTCTGATTCTGAGAAAGGTTGAGACATATTATCCAAAAGTGAAGCTAAATCCTGCTCACAGTATTCCATAACTAAGAAAATGCTAAAAGGGCAGAATTTATTAAACAATGGGCATTATATAAAGTCTGTTATCTAAATCCCACCTTTCCAAACTCTTGCCCACCACCACATCTAATAAATTTACAATATTTTCATGTTTACACGTCTTCAAGATGGTTATTTCTCTTAGGCCACTTACCGGCAAACCATCTTTCTCCTGATCCATGCGTACTTTTTTTAAAGCCACTATTTCATTGGTACGTGTGTCACGGGCACGATCTTAAATAAACAAAAAGGAAATTTATTATAAAATGCAAGTTTTACAGCGACTTGTTATGAAAAATCACTCACAAACTATACCATAAGTGCCTTCACCAATGCGATTGAGTTTTTCAAATTCGGTAACAGCTCGACAGCGTCCATGCTTAAATAAATTTAAATTTAGGATTAGTGTTTTGTTTCAATATTTGACAGATTTACAGCTTTTATGGTTGACTAGTTTTTATATATTTTTTTTTTTTTTAATTAATTCCAAAAATTTTTGACTTAAACCTATACATTTGACTAGTATTGGAACTGACCATTTATTATATTTCCCAGTTTTACACTAAAACATTCATGTAATGGAAATAACTAGTATTGCTTAAAACTTATAAATCCCAGTAATACTTGAACCGATTACTACTAATTTTGTTAATATTTTTGTTATAACATACCACATCTCTTTCCTTTATCTCAGTTGGGTCTCCCGTTTTTATGGATATAAGAAAACCCTTACGCGTTACTGGTGCTTGTGGATCTGCTGGCTTATTTTCACTCATTTCTGAAAAAAAAATAATTATTTTTAATTCGTTAAAAGTTAAAATTTTAAGAAAAAATTACCTTTGCTCATTATTTTAACAAAAATAAACAATTTTCTTCAAAAGTTGTTTACATTTATCCGGCGTTGTTAAAAAAGTACTAAAAAATTGTACTAAATAACAGCTGTTGGGTAATGCCAGATTGATTTTTTGCTTGATGCCCACATCTTATATCTTAATATTCCAGATATGTACAGTTATATATAAATTTAAACTTTGGAGACCTGTAACTCCTATGCCCAAGTAGAGCAGAGAAATATTTTTTTGTATATTTATAAATTTCATGTTTGTAGTCAGAATAAAACAATATAAGCAAATGTTTTAAAATCATATTTGTAAGATATTTCAAAAATGTCTGAATTTTATAAATCTTTGAAATATCACTCTGGCATCTTTACTTACTACTACTAAAAATAATAACATTTGGCAACTCTCACTACTCCACGTGCAGTTTGTTTACAATTTTATGCAAGGGAACAAGTGAAAAAATAAGTTTTCTTAATTTCTTAAAAAATATATATACAAATTTAAATAAATTGCCTAAAATATGTCTCAGGAGGAAGGTAAGTTTAGACACAATAAATCCCCCACAAAAACAATCCAATAAAGTTTAAATTTCTTTTAGAATTTTCAAAATGGCTGAGACGCAAAGAAAAAACATTCGGAGAAAATCTTAAATTTGCCATAAAATCTTGGCAATCAGTGGAATTTACCTTAACGACTAAATATGAACTGATACTAAAGTGGCTGTCAGAGCAAGATCATTTAACAAATGAACAAATCCTTGAGGAGGATTTCAAAGAACTACTCAAGTTACGTGCCCAACCAGGTTTGGTAGGTCAACAAGTTAAAAAGGATTTCGTGCAATGGTTTTTAAAACAGGCCCAAGGAAATGTTAGTGAAGAAACTAGAAAATGGTGTAATTTGCTGCAACTCTTAGTGGAATTTGAGTTGTTACAAGACTTATTTAGGATGGATTATGAACTGCAGTGTCGTGTTTATGGTGAAATATTCCAAAGTTACGAAAAGTATTTATTGGCTCTGCAGCAAAGTGGGGGACAATTTTTAAGCACTTTTGAAACGGAATTCTTTGCCTCGGTGCTGAAAGGTCTAAAAGAAACTATCAAACGTTGTGGTGATAGTGCTTCCTATGAAAAAGCCTATACGGAGTTCACCTTACAGCCGTTTGCACAAGTTTTGTTGATATTGCGCTCATTTAAGGTAGACTTCTTTGATGAACTTTTGGATATTGAAAGTATATTGTGTGCAGAAATACCGGAGCGTAATTTGATATATCGCATCTTCAAGTTGGCTTTGCCGGTAAGGCTATTGTGTCTTGAGTGTGCTATTGTGAAACGTAGGGGAGTGGAAACTTTTCTCAAATATTTACTGCAACATGTATTTTGTCATTTCTTGCAACACACAGATTGCGAGAAGATGGATCCTTCATTATCATTAACGACGGCTGCTTATCTCTTGGAGATGTTAGGACGCCACGATGTGAGTTTAAATATACAAATTAACGAAACCCAGACAGCTGTTAAGTATTTGGGAGCACAAATCTTGTCAGCAGTTAAAGCTAGAAAAGAATCCCACTTTAAGGAAGTGTTGATGTTGTTGTGTGCTGCTTTACGTTTGAATCCCTTAATATTGGAACAAAATGTTTTCGAAATTACAGCCTGGATGATATTATCACCCAAATCTGGCGATAAAGAAGAGCAGGAATTGTTTGAAGAATATTTGGTATTGCTTATGGATATGTTTAGGCGTCTGAGTAGAGCGGAAAAGTTTGTTTCCAATCTCTTAAAGGCCTTAAAAGAGCATTTAAAAGATATCGATTTAAGTAGCAACAAAAAACGTAAAGCTAAAATAGAGTTGGAGACACCACAAAAAAAGAAAAAGAAGTTAGCGGATAATACAACAACGGAACAAAACGCTGAAGATTTTTCTAAATATTTGTGTATATTATTCCATGATTTCTTTAAACCCTCTCCAACAAAAACAGTAAATGATAATAGGAACCTCTCAGCCAATGCCTCCTTCTCTAAGCTACAAAACTTTTGGCCTAGTAATCCGGTGGGTTTGTCTTTCTCGAAAATTATTACAGGTTTAGTATCAAAACCATCTTTAACCATTTGGAAATCTTTACTCTATGCCTTAAAGGATCTAATAGAGTCTTTAAAAACGAAAGAGGAAATATCAGAAAATTCTCTATTCCTCTTGGATTTCCAAGCGGCTTTATTAACACAATATTTTGCTGGCTGTAAACTGGCCGAACAATCGGATAAATTTTTAAGCGAACTGCAACAACAAAGAGAATTTACTGGGGAAATTTTGAAATTATTTGGACAATTTCTATTGGAGAAAGAACATCAGCCACGTACTATGAGTGCATTTTTGGAATTGTCATATTTTGCTTCTAATTTTGAATTACTTCTCGCCTATTATCGTCCCGATGGTTGTCAACATGCTTCCCTGCAGCCTGTGCCGGCCGTAGAAAAATTACATAGTTTTCTTACAGCCGAAGAATGGATCTTAATACAACAACGTGTTTTAAATTTTGGCAAATCCTCTTGTAAACATTTGTTACATCGCCTTAAAATGCAAAAATCCCAAGCTGAACTTTTACTTCTGTCAACAAATAAAGAAAGTTTGCCTTTAAAATCCACCGATAATGAAATCTTAAATTCTCTTTTGAAGACACCCCAAGCCAAGTGGTATTTACAGCAATTGCCTAGAAGTGAAAAAGTCAATATTGCTGAATATTTTATTGACAAACCTGATTTATTGCATCTAACCTTTGATGATTTAGAATTATTGGAATTTGTGTCTTTGGTTGTTTATGAGAGTATTTGCAAATCTTTGAATTCTAAACATTCTTTATTGAAGTCTTTATCGGGTAATTTCGATAGAGTTCGTGAATGTGTTGAGGTTACTGCTTGCGAGTTATTAATTAAGGAATTAATTGATTTGATTATCAATCGTGCGGATCAGGAGTATAAAGTGAAAAAGTTGTCGGTGGAAGATATTAAAACAAGTTTGGATATATTATCGCGTTTGCCTTTGGGCCAGTTGAGACGTCAGCGAAAGACTATTATATTTGCTTTACACTTGAGTTTGTATCGTGATTTAAAAGCAGCTCAGGAAGAGGATTTAGCTTTGCAGTCATTGGAGATTTTGAAGGGTGAGTAACTTTTCGGATTTTCGATTTTTAGTATAAAAGATATTGTTCTTTTTTAAGACACTTTATTAATTATTTTCTTTACAACTGCCTCGCAGATCTTTTACATTTCGGACAACAAGTTTTAATCTTCAAATACCTGCCCACCTCACTTCTGCTTAAACTATTGCCCGCCGAAAGTTGTTGGGAGCTCTATGAGTTCCTATTTTCCACCGTAAAAAATGAGGAAAAAGGTACAGAACAATTCCTACAAGGACTAACTGATATACTCAGTGAATGCCAAAAATCTGCAAGTCTAAATGAAGAACAACGTAAACTGTTACTGGCGGCTATAGAAACTTTAGCTTCCCTAAGCGGAGCTAGTGCCAAACATATGCGTAAACATTTGGAAGGATTTTTGAAAATCTTTTCCGATTATCTGCAACAACATTTTACCGCTACTAGTGATGGCACTTCCAAAAAAGATAAGAAATTTGTACAAAAGACATTGGCAGGATTTGCTCCCTATGCCACAACGGTTTTGGGAAAAGCTGTCAAAGCCAAGGAAACAAATAAAGTAGCAGAGGAAAATAAGGAAACAGAAGAATTTAAACTGGAAGTAGATGAAGATTTTAGGCGTATAAGCAAAATTTATATAGGACACTCGGTAGGTTGTTATTTTTTATCATATAATGATATTATTATCATTATTTTGTTTGATATTCCAGATGGATTATCGCAATCCTCATGCTCTACGTTTAATGCAAGTAGCCTTAAATCATCGTGAATTATTGCATTTAGATCAAGATGAAATTGAATTTGTTTTAACCCATTACTGGTCTCAAATTAATGAGGATTTAAAGAATGTATCAGAGGCACAACAAAAACTTGGCAGTAAAACCATAGAGTCAGCAGTAAAAATGATTATAGGCAATAAAACCAATGAGGATCTATTGCTTGTACTCAAAACGATAGCCAACAATGTGCAGGAAACAAATTTCTCCAATATTTTAAGACTTTTGTCTCTAATAGCTAAATGCCCTTTTAGTACCATAAAAGGAGCGGTAAGTTTTCTTATTTAAACTAAACAGATTTCTCAGTTTTCTCTAAACATTTATTTTCTTTTGCTAGATTTTCAATGAACAATATAAACAAATAACTTTTAACATAACCTTACGTTTGGCCCGTGATGAGCAACAGCATTTTAATGATTACGATTTAATAGTTAACCTATTAAATTGTCATCAAGCCGTACTGGATAATAAAATGGTAAGTTTTCTTTTAATATCCAAAAAATTTTTTAAACTAATTTTATTATAACTCTTAGATACCCATTTCCACCGATACCTTGGATAGTATTTTATCTTTTCTTATGGATATTAATATTAAAAAATTTCGCTTGAGCGATACCAATCTCAAAGTTTTCCACAACCTCCATCTGGCCATGACTGAAGTGTGTTCGTCTTTAATAAAACATCGTCATATTTTACTAATGGATCGTGTGCCTCAATATATGCACATTTTCAAAGATCTATTACAATCCATAGTTTGGTATAAGAGTGAGCGTCAAAAGGATACTGCATTGCCCTCTAATGAAATAGATGATTTGTCTGAGTTGGCCTTGAAACTGGAAGCTTTAATGCATTTAATAGCACAACATAAAGTGGGTGTTAAGAGAGTGGCTCCTTTCGTTTTGACTTTTATTATTAATTTAATGGTTGCGAATAAAAGACCTACTACGTTATACAATAAGGTGAGTTTTAGTGTCTTAATTAATGTTTGTTTCATTAAATTTTACGATTTTCGTTTATTTTTCTTTTAGATCAAAACCCATATTGAGAATATTTGCTATGAATTGGTGGGCATTTGTGATCATCGTGTGGGTAGATTTATTTTACGTTGTTCCAATGAAGCTGGTCGTCAATTGTATGAATTACTGGTTAAGGATTATCAAAAATATCATAAGTTCAAGGGCAAAGTGTAAAGTGTAAAGAAAAGAGTTTAGGGATGTTTGTGAACATGAGATTTTATGTGTGTTTTATATTAATTTAAATAAAAAATTTTTTGTTACACAAAATTTCGGGTTTTAATTTATTTTGATTAATTATTTAGTTAAATGCTTCTTAGTAAAACAATGAGAACTTAACCATACTTATTTTACATTTTGATCAAGAAGTTTCAATCTATAAATATTTTTTTACCTTATTATTGTTCAAGAAGCGAACATTTTTACTTTTCAATCCAGTTTTCTAGGTCAATTAGAAAACTATTTAAACATATTTGTAGTAAATATTATCAGCAATATTGCTGCGAAAAAATCAATAAAATTAGTTTAGAAATGGCTTAGATATAATCATTTAAACACAACGGCCTTACTTTTTGTACTAAAACATTCTATAATTCTATTCTTAAGCCGCTGAAAATATAAACAAAGGTTTGTGACTTGGCTATGAGAAAAACTACCGTTTTCATGTAATTCCCTCAATATACATATTTGTGCGTGGACTTGTTTGCTTGTAAATTGTAAATAAAGATTCATGTCTTTGCTATATTCGTTTTGAATCAAATTATAAATAAAGGTTTTTGTCTTCACTCTGTTTACATCCTTCTCCATACACATGTACGTGTGTGTATATGTGGGAGTGTAAACATGCATGCAAATTTTTGCATGACATTTGTACCAAAATTTGTCAGTTTAGTGCGCGTTTTTATAGCAAGTGGTCGTGTGTGATTTGTGCTATTTTATAAATTTCACAAAAATTTTGTAAAAATTTAAAAATAACAAGAAATATGATTGTTTTATAAAATTAAATCATGTTTTTCAATAAATCGTATGGAGTGTGAGTGTTTTTTAAGATTAGCTGCTGCTATTAAATGAAAGTGTTTGAAATATTTCCCAACAAAATTTGTTTTCTTAAAATTTATTAAATCTATTAATTTGTTGGTCATTTAGTAAAAAAAGCTTTTAATAATTATGAAAAATATGTAAAAATAGTGTGTGCAGTGTTTTTAAATAAATATTTAATGATTTGGTGGCGTTATAAGTAGAGCCGACAGCAAGCTAAGTTATTTTGGATAAACAAACCCGGGGGTTATAGGCATAAGGTAAGTGACACAATTTACTAAATTCTAGCACAATTTGGTTGTTATTTGTCCACTGGGCTGGTCATGAGATGTTTTGCAATAATTTGCAAAAAATTGGCAGTTGAGAGCCCCCTATAGAAGAGCAAATGCCAAGTAACTTCGAACAGTACAACTTCTATGTTTAAAGTGTTGTTGTTGTAACAGCTCGACTGTGGCCGATAGTTCTATGCCGGGGTTGATACAGCTGTCGCTGGGATGACAATCCGGAGCAAAGTTCCAATAGTCGTGGGAAATTTGCTTATGTTTAAAGCATTGTACATTTGGTCACAATATGATCCTTGCAAATATCCTCAGATATTATTAAATCATTTATAATATCATTCCCGAAGTAACTCATGTCCAATTTACATAATTGGTGAACAAAAACAGTGAAAATTGAAATAAAATATTTCTTTATAACATGCTGTTAGGTACGGAAACAAATTTTATCATCATTGGACCACTCTAATTGAATAATATTCCAATTGGATAAAACAAAAACAAATGTTTAATAGGAATAATTCAGAAATCTCTTTATTATGTCCCTAAAAATTGACCAGCAACTAATATCCTTAAATATTTATTTAAATTTGAAAACATATTAAACATAATTTCATTCATAATACATAAATTAATAGAAAATAACATAAAAATAAATTTGTACTTTATTCATAGAAGCCTAATCTCAGGCAAATAGAGAACATTTTTCACAAATAGGGTGATCAGCATCACAGGAACCACTAAAAAGTAAATACAAATTTAACCTCTAATTGACATTCCCCTCACATAAATACTTACAATACAGTAACGCATGAATTGCAAATAAATTGTCCACACTCCGTGCAAGAAAAGCCACATTCTTCGCACAAAGGCTTTTGGCAATTGGTGCAATCACTCTGAACATAAGTCTCACGATCACAACACTTAGCTTTGCGCCTTACCCATAGGAATTCCTCTTCCAAATCTTCGGCTCCTTTAGCTGCTTCTATTTGACCATTACCAAATAAAACCACCATACTTGATACGGGCGTCTTTTTATTACGATTTGGTTGTATATTATTATTGCTGACAGAGCGTGCCGCTTGGAACAATAGCTTGGTGGTTTTAGCTAAAGATTTTCATTAAAAATCAATAAAATACATAAATTCTTTTGATTCCATTTTCTTAACTTACCATGTATTTCTTTCATTTTATTGGCATCATGGGAATCCACAATTTTTTCATTAACATGCATTTTAGTTTGTAAAGTGTAAGGCGATTCCTCGGAACGCATTCTTTTTAAGCTAACTCTTTGCATTTTGTAGGTATTTATGAAAACTTATCAGAATTTTTTTATGTATATTTTTTGTGAAATTCTTGTGTAGATATAAAATTTTTTGAGAAGTTCACACAAAATGAAATTGTTTGTAAACAACACAGTTGTAAATAAAGTGGAGTCAAATTTTGTAATTGTACTTAAAGTAACAATAATATCAGCTGTGTTTTCATTTTCATATGGTACACCTAGAGAATTAAGTGTGTAGAATTGAATTATGTACATATTTATTTTTTATAAATTTTGATTTGATTTTTTATATTACAATATTTTTTGGTATAAAAAAACTAGAAACAACTTTTAATTTTGAAATAATTTTCATTAAAACAATGAGTAAAATTAATTTTTCTATGAAATCTCTATTTTTATATTTAAAAGTATAAATGAAAAAATGGTTTAACAATATTTTCATCAAAATGCTGTCCAATTGACATATTTAAGACTCCAGGGGCCACTTGTATGGGGAATAGGTGAAATCGTGGACCGATATTGCTCAATTCAAATACCAAACAAACCTTATTAACTTAGAATAACTGTGAGATTTCGCCTTAGAATTCAATAAGTTCCCACAAATATATACTTTTGACAATATCAATATACCCAATACAATAATATCTTTTTTGACGGTGGGTATAAAAAATGAGGTTATTATTTGGTCGGTCAAACAAAAATCCAAGAAAGAGCAGTAGTTCTTGGTTTTTTAGTTTGTCCGACGAAATCGAATTTTATTTTTTCATTTTAAATTTGGTAAAAGTTGTAGTTTTAATGTCACTTTTTCTACCCTACCTACATCACTATAGTTAGGAGGGTATTATCAGTTGTTCTTGGTTTTTTGTCTTTTTAGTTGGTCCGACGAAATCGAATTTTTATATTTTTTCATTTCTAATTTCTCATAGAAAAGCTCAAATTTGGTAAACTACTACACTACACTATTATAGTTGGGAGGCTATTATGCTTTTATGCTGATATTTGTAACATCCAAAAATATTGGTCCTATCTGTACTTTCGTATATCTACCTGTCTGTGTGTCCATATTAATCAGTGCATTATTTCACGTAGCCTCAACACACCGTCCCCCCTAAGTAGGGCTTGTGAGTTCATAATTATGTTCGATGTTCTAGTATGTCAACAAAAATCGGCAAAACTTAGTTTTATGAAAGTCTAAATGATACTGCCGATTTTCTTAATGATCGGGCCTCATTTGGCTCTAGCCCCAATACAAACTCCTTTTCATAAAATATGTAACTTGAACACGATGAAAATCTGCATAAATAACTTTAATGTAGACGTAAATTCCTCTACCAAAATTATTAAATATAGGCCCATATTTACCCTTACCCCTATATAAACCCACTTGTAGAAAATCTCTTATTTTGACAACAAAAAGTAAGAAAATTCCGGAATTAAGGTAAAAAAATAAATGCCTTATTATTACAAAAAATAATACACATTTTTAACATATTCACTGGTGTAGGGTATTATATGGTCAGCCATGCCCGACTATACATTCATACTTGGTTATATATTAAATTTTTTGTTATTTCAACAATTCATAAATATTGCCCCCCAAAGGTTTATTACTCCCTTCTATAACTTTAAATTTTAAGAAATTCGATTCCTAATAAACTTTTTAAAACAACAAAAAATCTTATTTTTCAAATCAGCTGTGCTAAATTTATAACAACACAAATGTTGTAAATTTATATCCAATATATCTTGTCATAAATTTAAACATACATCTATCAAATATGTATATTCCCAATAAAGAACACATTTTTCACCCTACAAAAATCCCTAAAAAATAAACTTCAAAATTCCCCAAAAAAATGGAAAAAATTAAATTATATTAATCAATTTAAAAATATGTATCTATAGTAAGTAAGTATAGTCATAGTAAGCAATTACAATAAATTAACATATTTTATGATATTAAATCAACTAAAACGAACTGTGTAACACAGAGAATAGAATTTTTACGAGTGCTTGAGCTTCTACATCTGATTTCGTGTATTTATTTCTTTTTTAATATACAAGATTATGAAGATGAGAATGTATACAGTATTAAAAAAATATGTGTATGTCTATAAAAAAGATACATTTTAAACTCTAATTTTAGTAAGCATAGATACATAGATACCGAAGTATTGAAATAGTTTTAATGCACCATAGATACCGGGACTCTAAATACACCCAAACAAAATAAATATTTTGAATTTATACATTCTTCTTACTACAACAATACAAACGAATCGAATCCAAATACTTACTATACAACAGGCAGATAGCGAGACAAACTTACTACACACATAGATACACAATTTTGTCTATAAAAAAAATATATATATAAAAAAACAACAAATCACATAAACTAAA